TTCAGTCCAAAGCTGTCAGAATAAACATACAGTTTCACTGTAGATATTTTTTTACAAAGAGTTAATGTTTTCCTACAGCGAGACACTGAAACGTATCCAATTTCAATGTAAACCTATTGATATGTGTATGTTAAACTCTCTATACATTTAAAGGTCAAAATCGGTACAACAGAAAATATTTGAGTTTTGAGAGAGATTTTACATGAGTTAGGAGAGGCACGCTGATAGTGTGTAGCGGTTATTTTTTTGTTGAGAAGAGAATTTGTTGTTTTGAAGGGAGTTTTGTTGATTTGTTGAAGTTGATTGAATATTATTATGGTGATCTTAATTAATCAGGGTTTATTGGTTGTAATTAGTTGTTTTGGTTTTTTGAGTTATACTGTTTGGTAATAAATATTTGCTTGAAATTGGTTGAATGTTTGTCTGGTCAAGATTATTTAAGTTGATGCTTTCTTTTGAGGATATATGTAAATATTCGGTGCTTTAGTTTGCTTTTCTGATGCTGATTAGATTTTGTAAAGTTAATACTGTTGGTTGAATGTTTATGGTTTATAGTGTATTTTAGAGTTGTAAAAAAATAGTCATTTCTGTGTTCTTCATTTTGTGGTGATTTTATTGTTTTGTTTGATTATGAGTTGTTTAGAGCTTGGGCTCGCCAGGTGTCTAGTATTGTTTCGTTTAAAAGACGTATACGTTAAAAGATATTTCGTATAAATGGTTGATAAATGACGTGTGTTTTTTTAGGGTGTAAATAATGATCAGAGTTCCTTGTTTTGGGTGTAAAACATAATCAGAGTTTGTTGTTTAAATGTATATATGGATTTGAGATAGAAAAAAGATAAAATACCTAAAAAAAAGTGTTAACTAAGCAATTACACGCTAGTTTTCCAACTGGGAATATTTCAATTTTATGTCAGGCGGTGCTACCTAGCCCCCATATCTTGGAAATTGGTTCTAGTAATTTTTACTAAATCTTTCCGTAGATTAAATAACATCAAGGCAGACATTTCTCCTGACAAAGTCGAACAACTGGTTTACCATCATTAACATCCTCTTGACAAATGGGACATTTCTCCATCTACAACCGCACAGGAATTGATAGAATAATTTCTCAACGTATAATACATGTAGCAAAACTGTGTGTGGTAACATATTATGTTTTGTTTTGCTTTAATCTGGTCAATCACAAAATAGAAAATGTTTGTAAAAACCTTAATAACAGATTATAATATAATAAAAATTATATATTTGTATCCTCATGTTTAAAGGCTGATTTCATTATGTTTTACATCGTATTTATAACATACAGCTGTGCTTTGTTCCATTATGAGCTATAATGGTTGTAAAAATTAGGCAAAATGTATTCTTACGATTTTTACTTCTTGTCCCTCAAAGATTCAGAAAGATATAAAGGCTAAACTGCAATACCTGAAATTACAATAAAATCTTAATTAATTTTATCATGAAATATGTGATTCTTACATGTATAAATTAATCTACTCAACAAAAATCTCACATTACATCAGACCTATTATAATAATCGTATAATAATTCATTTCATGAAATAAAAGCAGACGTTTTGATGCACAAATGCATAAGACAAAAGTAAAGCAATATTTAACTAACATTCTCTTACTTGGAAGACATCTCCACTATTTTTCTATTTCAATCTGTATGCACACACCTGATGCAAATTATCACCTTAAAGTTTAATATATAACAAATAAATAAAATTATGCCTTTTTCAGAATTATGTTATCCTATGTTTATAAAAAAAAATTATTGAAATAATAGCTGATTCTTTTCAGATGAGAACATTATATTAACTGGTAACTTACTTAATATCATAAAATTAAAGACTGAAGTTAAAAATTTAGTATGCAGAAAAATTGACTTGTGAAATAAAATTGCTATTTACGTGTTTCATAAAAATGCGACTTGTCTAATATGAATAAAATTTTCATGGAACAACGTGGAACTTAAGTTACTTGAAAATAAATAAAGTACTTGACTTGGATAACTTTAGACATACATTTTCCAGTTTAATTTTGCAATCTCTTCTAAAGTTTTTTATTTTAATATATATTCACATAAAATGCAATTTTTCCACCTGAAATAAACAAAACATTTGATATAGTCAATATTTTACATTTTTGTAGATATTGCACGAGCTAATTTATGACTTATTTGCGCTTCCGTAGAAAACATTGGAACAGACCCTATATTACTTTTGCATTTCTTGAAATATTTTACGATATCAATAAAGCATCTACACACCATTATTCTTTATAAGTACTTAAAGTATTATATTTTATCTAAGATGCGAATTACTTCGCATAACAATGTCATTGCTTTCGCATGACACAAAAAGAATTTCTGTTGCGTTTAGTTCTATCACTTACGCTTCTTTTGTCGGACTATCTCCTTTATTTCTTCTATTTGCCGATACAAAGATATTTTACAGGCGAAATGAAATATTTACTAGTAAATCAATAGATACCATGTGAATACTCGTTGACTTTTTCATTTTTGCATTGCTCGTAATACACGGATACGAACGTAATGTAGTTGTAGTTCATATAAGGGCTGATTTAAAAAAAAATGATATAATTGACTTGTCAATATTGCGTTATTTGATTAAATTGAGTCTAGCATTGGATGATATTGCTTATTATTTACCAAGTGTCCTTCCCTTATGTCCTTAAAGAGAAATTATTTAAACACACACCAAATAAAATATCAATGTTTTTTTTAAACTTATGTGTGGAAATAGTTTAAACAGATCGTTGATAATGTATCATGAAAAATTTGACCGATGCATGCATACTTTCCGTCCCATAACGCGACGTGATGGGCCTGACAGAAGAGGATAAAATCAGCAAATACAAAGTGATTATCATTTAATATTTTACCTAACATGGACTCGAATCGGGACTGTCGGAATACTTTTCAGCGGCTCTAATGACTGAGCTATCTGGTCGCTTACTTATCTTTTTTTCTCCACCGTGATATTTTGAAATAAGTCCTCGAACTGAGCAACGTAAATCAATTCTGAGAATAGTACACTAAATACAGGCCCGCCCGCATCCGGACGATAAAACAAGAATGTGCAGTCTTGTACTGTCATTTAGCAGCTCTACCGACTGAACTATCCGGCCGATAATACATATTCACTCCTAAAAAGTGAACAGTTTTAAACCTTGTTGATGTTGATTAGATAAATATAACTTTATGATTATAAGAATAATCAATGTCTTCATATTTTAATTTAAACCGGACATGGTTAATTCTAAACCATTGGAGGTAACACAAAAATACTGTAAGTTATAAAAGATTGCTCAACGGAGACACCTGAATTAAGACTGTTAAATTAAATTAACTTAATTTTCTTAATGAATTTGAAGATGGCCATATCCCGCTTTATTCATTTATCATTTTTCTTTTTTAATCGAAGTCATATACAACAGGGATTTTACTCAATTCAAGCATGTTTTTATGTAACTTGGATAACATTTTTTTTGAATATAACGCAAGGTACCCTGGTGGCTTTATCGTCCATTTAAATACTATTGTATTTTTTCATGAACGAGATAAGGTTACAGAAAAGGCGTATTGTAAATAAATGACCATGCATTGTTACTCCCCTTTGATAAATGATCGACATTTACACCTCACTTTTTGGGGGGGGGGGGGGGGTGGGGGTGTTATGAATAAATATATAAATATCAGGTAAAAGGTTTTTACACTCATAAATTTAGCTACATTTATTTTAAGTCTTTGAAAAATTAAAATGAAATGTAGACATTTGTCGATAAGCACAAACATTTATAATATCCGTTTATTCAAATATTCGATATACGTTCATTATCGGTATTATAGTTCAGTAGACGCTCATTATTTGAAATGAAACGGTTTCATGTCGTTTAAGACGCTTTTTTAAGGATAAAGTATAGATATGATTTGATATGATAAAATAAACATAATTTTGTAATATTTTATAATTTTAGAATGCACTCTACAGCCCGACAAAATATGACTCCTATCAACGGATTAAAAATTATAATCGTTGGCAAGACTGGTAACGGAAAGAGTTCTTTAGGAAACACGCTACTTCAAGGAAAGGTATTTTTTGAGTCCGATGACTTCAATGCTGCAACTGCGGAATGTCAACTTGAACAGAATATACCAGGATTAACTGTCGTTGATACACCTGGTTTGTTTGGTATCATGGAAACTGACAAAAATGTAAAGCAAATACGATCTAATGCTTTATCTATAATAAGATCATTAGATATCTGTTGTCAACCTCATGCCTTTCTATTTACTTTGAACGGCGCGTGTCGTTTCACGGATGAAGAGTTGTCGGTAATTGATGTTTTAACAATTATATTTGGGAAAGAATGGATCGATCATGCTATAGTTATTGTGACTCACATCGGAAACGATGTTAAGGAATCTGATTTTAAAAAAAAGTGGAACAGATGTGAGAAACTTAAAAAATTTGTAAAAGACTGTAATGGACGAATATGTAGAATAGATAACAGAAACCCACAAGAAGAACATGTAAGTAGAATCCTGCATTTTGTAAATCAGGTATCACTAAACGGTAAACGTCCGTATTCTGCTAAGTACATAGATTGCAGAAAAAAAGTTCTTCAAAACGAAGACAAACTTGAAGAGTATAATGGAATGCCATCACATCTCATTATAAAAGAAATAGCTCAAGACATTCAAACGATGATAGCAAATGAAATTAAAAATGAAGAATTACACAGGCGGCTTTTACAGCAGGAAAAAGAAGAAAAAGAGAAACTAGCTAAATTAGCTGCATTTGAAATGGAAAAGAAAATATCAAAAACTGTGTCCACGATTACAGCATCGGGATTATCAGCAGCCTCAGTCGCATGTATAGCATATGCTGCTTCGCCTTTTGCAATAGCTTTTTGTTGTGGAGGTGCAGTTGTTGCTATTGGCATTTCAATTTTTACATGGCGTCGGAATTTATAACTGTTTATGTTTTTTCTTTCTCTTTAAGGTATGAGCCCCCTAATGGGCACTATAAGGAACTATAACATTAACAATATAGGTCAGTTTAAAGGACACCTGTAGGCAAAATTTTAACAAAGTTTACCGTATGGTTTACGAGTTCTGGGGATTTTTCTTTATTAAAACTTGGCTATCAGAAGGCTTTTTTTTCAGAAATGAGAATTTCTAAATAATCTAGAAAAATCTATAATATAATAATTATGAAATAATGTTTTCCTATTGTACATTATTAAGAAACAAAGAATAGCATTCCTTTAACAAAGGACACAAACAAAATTATTGTTTCTACTCAAATTCTTTGAAACATGTATACAAATGTTACCCTACCCATCCATTTTAGTTTTTTGAACAATTTTCTACTTGGCGGGTCTTATTCAAAATATCCTTAAAATTTACCAAACTCAGGGATTGTTTTCAAAATGTGCCTCAAATTTCTTAAAAGTATACTGGTTTGGCTTGTCAAATATAAAATACTTTTACAGTCTAGTTTTTTTAATTTTATTAGACTTTAGAAAAATCAGGTTCCATATTTGATAATAAATTTGGCATATTTAAGCAAAAAATACCAATAATAATTATCTAATTAAAATGAAACATTTTTTTTCTTCTAAAAGTGATCCAAGAAACACATAGATAATGTTCAAAGACAAAAGAAAGAAAGAAAAACATTGCCTTTTCGTGGGCTTGAACCCACGCCACGTTTGAATACTCTTCTTAGTGGAGGTAACGCTGGTCATAACGTTGGTCATAACTTAATATTTGTTATGTCTTGCAAAGACGTAAAAATTGTCATCTGAAGGTACTTTTTGACTGAAATGGAATGTATAATAGCACGATATTTCTGTCATGACAGCTTGTAACAATATTCTTTTATTAGCTAATCTCAGCTTGCTTATTTTTCACAATGTTTGTTTTTTTCTGTTTCTGTCCTTTTCCATTTTTTTTTGTGTTTACTTTCATTTTTTTTGTCTTCAGAACTCAGAGGAAGAAATTTATTTAGTGAGCATTATTTAATTGGTTATGATCGTAGGGCATATTTTTATAATAGACCTTATATTGCTATGTATATCAAAAGTATATATTCATTACACATTATTGAAGATTAAACACTTTGTTTTTGTTTACATCTAAAACTAAGTAGTCGAACTACTTTCTATAGGTTATAATGTATAATGCTAGGCGAGGATGTTCCGATTGGTATTCTTTACTCGGAGGGATTGATGACTTTATAATGAGCAAAATGATTGTTTTATTTCAAATAGTCCTTGCAGTCCTTATTTGTATTTTACCTTTTGTCACGACTACACAAAACATGTGTTTATGCAGCTAAGCAGTACACAAAAGTATACTTTGCCAATATGTTATGCTATAAAACAATTAACGATCATCAATAATTAACACGATTCGAATTAGTGGGTGGGGAGCGGTCTCGTAAAATAAATGTTGAGAGTTGAATTCAACTATTGACATTCAGCTCAGCATTTGTTTGTTTTTATCAGTAAATTATATCAATTTAAAACAATTGATGAGCCAGACAATCATTTGTTATTCGTTTGTAGACAACCATTACTGTCTCATATTTTTCACAATGTTTGTTTTTTCTGTTTCTGTCCTTTTCCATTTTTTTGTGTTTACTTTCATTTTTTTTTGTCTTCAGAACTCAGAGGAAGAAATTTATTTAGTGAGCATTATTTAATTGGTTATGATCGTAGGGCATATTTTTATAATAGACCTTATATTGCTATGTATATCAAAAGTATATATTCATTACACATTATTGAAGATTAAACACTTTGTTTTTGTTTACATCTAAAACTAAGTAGTCGAACTACTTTCTATAGGTTATAATGTATAATGCTAGGCGAGGATGTTCCGATTGGTATTCTTTACTCGGAGGGATTGATGACTTTATAATGAGCAAAATGATTGTTTTATTTCAAATAGTCCTTGCAGTCCTTATTTGTATTTTACCTTTTGTCGTGACTACACAAAACATGTGTTTATGCAGCTAAGCAGTACACAAAAGTTTACTTTGCCAATATGTTATGCTATAAAACAATTAACGATCATCAATAATTAACACGATTCGAATTAGTGGGTGGGGAGCGGTCTCGTAAGATTTACAAAGCGTTTAAGTAAACGAGTGCCCATTAATCATTCAGATAAGTTTGGCCCCTTTTATCTTACTGTTTTTAGAGTATCGTCTATAAACGTGAAACAGAGTAAATAATTCATTTCAAGATGATAATTGGTCATTTTGAAGGTATACTGAGTGGATTCCAAGTAAACAATAAACTGAACATACAAATGGTACGATTAGCAATCCCTCAAAGTTACTATTTCAACACACTGACACTGTTACTGACATATTGAGTGTTGAAATAACATGATTAAACCATGACAAATTTATTTCCTTTATATGTTCTTTATCATAATTGTATTAAACATTGTTTCAAAATAAACGTTACATCGAAATGAAAAATTTTAACCTGGCCGATTGAAAGAATAAAAGTCGTGTTTCGTTTCATTTGATGGACAAAGTTGTTTCTTTTCGACTCCATATAATCTGTACATGGCTTTAAAAACGTATTCAAGTTTAGCATGGTATGCCTGATCATCAGTTCTTGCGATAGAAAACACAACAAACGATACATAATACTATATTGAACAGTACAAATAATGCGGTAATAATGTACAGCTATGCATTACGTGATATAAGTTACAGAAATGTATTACGTGATATGAATAGCAATTATGTATTACATGCAATGACTAACAGTTATGCATTACGTGATATATTACAGTTATGTGTTTCGTGATATACTAAACAGTTACGAAAAACATGATATGAATTACAGTTATGTATAAAGTAGAAGAATTAGAGTTATATGTTGCGTGATTTAGATAACAGTTCGGTACAAGGAGTCATAACTCAATTACATACATTGTGCTAGGATGGGATTATGAATTAATGAAAACAAGTTAAATGTTGATGCTGCACATCAAAGAAGTCGCCAAATGATGTGAACAGTCACAACTAATGTACAAAATCAGAATTGAAAATCGTTCTATATTACAGCTGAATATCCGAAGCACTAATTAATTTTTTCTCCATGTTCTTGGTATGTGTCTGATTTTCTGAAATGTTTGTCTGTTGCAACAAAGATTAAAACGTCTGGTTGAAGCAAAATAAATTTGATAGCAAGTCAAATTGAAATGATTGGTTATATTAAAATGAATTCAAGACAATATGTGCCGAGAATATGGCAGAATATAGCCATTTAAATATTGGTTCGCATTGCATAATGTTCAACTGATTTTGAGGACGAACAGTCTGTTATTTTACAAATATCGAAAATATGTCTGTTATATCAAATAATAGTTATAATCAATTCTTTGTAACGTATTGTCTACTTATTTATAAAAGATTAAACTACTTGAATAAACAAAAGATTGCATATTCGCCTAGAAAAAAAATCTAGGCAAAAGAGAACAATCGTCGGTCACAGAAGAATCCTTCAAAATAGCCACTTACAAATATTTGTGATACGTTTTAAAACAAACGTCGCACACGTTTTGCTTGTTTTGCAAAAAATATTTCCGCTGCAAATAATCACCGTTGCGTATTTTAGTGATACCTCTTGTTCTCTGCCCGTCATTAGACTATAGACGGGTCTGTGTTAAGCTAAGGGTTAAGGGAGAACCGCCTCTCTGATAGTGGGCCAAGTTAAGGCTTTGTAACTTGTAATTTAATAACTCGTCAAGTTATATTGATCCTAATTGTCCTGGTTTCCTCCCCCATCCCCGTCAACGAAGACTAAATGCTAGCATATTGAATTTGGCGACAATTTAAGGCGGAGACGAACTTCAACAGAGGCGGAGCGAATGAAGTGAGTGACACTGCTTCAGTCGTTACCTCTCTCAACGGTTAAGCTTTAGAACGATCGACTAAAGACTGGCTCATTGGCACGTTATTTATTAAGATAAAATTAGATGATAATAAAAAGAATATGACATGCAAACATGAAACTATCACTTCAGTTAAACGTTTATTTTAATCCCTTAAACTTCTGTGACATGTTGTACATCAGAAAAAGCTATTTTTATTAGAAAATTTGAAAACAATGTGATTTTGATAAAACAAAAAATGCACAAAATCAAGTCTAAAATTTTCCCCATTGCTATACGGACAAATGCATATCTACTAGACGGCGCGTGCACGGGCCGTCTAATAACGTGAATAACAGTAAATGTATTACATCATATGGATTACACTAATGCATTACGTGATATGTTAATGAGTTTTATATAACATTATCTCATTATCTCATTATTTGACAGAACTTTGTTACTTTAATTACAATCAGAATATAATGAAACAGAAATGAAAGCGAGGCTAGATAGGGTGCGATATATATTTGGACTTTTTGTTCTGAAAACGATATTAAATGGATGAGATTTGATACAGTACACATTTCTTATGAAACATCCAAGTGATATAATGATAGAAAGTGAATTGGTTATATTTAATTTGCAATGTGCTAGATAATTGATGATATTGGTGACATTAATCATACATTGGCTGTAAATGTTTTGGTTACTGTTGTACTATGTACATGTATATTAGAATTATTTACAAGTTTAAATATCTCGACATATCCGTGTACTTGATGCCATTTTAAAGCAGCATGTCTCCAGATCCATGCTACTTTTGTTGAAAAATGTTTAACATGTATCAAAAAATGAAATATTTTTAAGTGGACAAATAAAGTAACTTAACGCTGCAAATAACGCTTTAAGTCACAACACTAACCAAAAGAAAATAGGTCAGAATTAGCAAAATTAGTCCTTTTTCGTTAGTCACGCATTAGAAGTATAGTAATAATTTAATAAATACTGTAAAATGAGCCATTAATTGCATATGAATTATTTTTGAATATTTTTACTCTTTAGAATCTTAACACATTTTTCTCAACATTGATTAAAATGCTTCTCTAGAGGCACGTGGCTGTAAAAGAGGGTTGCTCGTTTAAACGCTTTATTCTAAATTGGAATAATGTAATAAATACATGTCATGTATTTTACTTTCATTGTTAAGATTGATGTTCTTTCTACTAAAAAAAACCTTCTTTTGTTTAATCCATATAGTGCAAAATATGACAATAAAGATACAGATCAGGAAACATAAAAGTACACTACTTGCATAATTCACGATGGACAACTGTAAAAAATACACTACGCAAATAATGAAAAAGGTCAGCTCTAACAACTGCGCTTTTATAATTGTATATTTACAATCAAAATGTAATCAAAGCAGATAGCAGTGCCAATGATAATCATTTACCTTCCCGATACCTTGCTTAATAAATAAAACTTTCCAATTGGCAAATTGTTTATAATATTATTCAATATTAGAAGTTTTTCTTTTTTAAAAAATCACCAAATAATAGTTAAAACATGAAACAAGTAAAACTACTACCAATACAATTGTTTTTCAATGTAATATGTACATGAAATATTTTCCTTCTTCCTCGACGTTTTTTTCTTTTTTTGTTTAAATTTCTTTCATTTGTTATTGCCTATCATGAAATTTTGTTTGTCATGTAATTAACGGAAAGAAAAATATCTAATCAGTAAATACTAAACTACAATAAAAGTTGATTATCTCTGCTGAAGTAAGATCAAGGTGGAAACCTGGGGATGGATCGTACATTTAAATCAATATTTTTGTGCATTCAATGAATAAATTAACTGTACAAATCAATTAAATATTTTATTTTTTATACATAATTTTATGTAAAAAGTATTTTTTCTATAATATTTTTATTTCTTGTTATAGTTTATACTTATGTTACTAGAACTTGTTGTCCACCCAATTTGCTTTTTTAT